GGGCGGCTTCCACTATCTCCCATTCTTGCCACTCTCTCGCTGCCTCCACCCTCTCTACCCACCATTCCTCCTCCAACTGTTCCTCCTTTGGGCCACTATTTAAGGCACTGAGCCGGTCTGCGCATTCCTGTCCTGTGGCCAAATGGGCCCGGTAGCTCCCTGCCAACCGGTCATGCAAACATCTTCTCAGCAAGGCGTTGCCCTGCACCACCCATTCCAATTCGTCCATTCCTTGGGAGCGCCTCTGCAGCCAGTTATCCCAGTGTTGTTGGATCAGGGGCTTGTACTCCTCATCCTGAAACACCCATGCGGGAATAGACGGTGGTGGGCGGCCCACCATAACACCCCCCACCGGGAAGATTGCTGCTACCTGCACATGATCTGACAATGCAGTCGGCAAGTACGCAATCTCACTCCCATGTCGGAAAATGGAACTCGAGGCCCACACCATATAGATACGGCTCCTCCTGTTCGCCGACCCATACCAAGTGTACTCCCGTCCTGCAGGGAAGGCCGTTCGATAGACATCCACACAATCCAATTCTGCCATCAACAGCTGTAGTGCTTCCGCGTCTGCCGTGGGGGGGCGCTCCTGGAGGGAATCCAGACCCGCGTGAATAGTGGAATTAAAGTCCCCTGCAAACACATAACTTTCGACTTCGGGGATTTGGGTGCGGAGCTCCTCCCAGAGGTCGAGCCGTTCGCGGGGGTCCGAGGGCCCGTACACGGACACCACACACCAACGTGTGCGCGCCCACTGCAACATCACCCAAACCCATCGCCCCTGGTTGTCGGCATTCCAGTCCACCAGCTCCCCTCGGAAGTGGGGGGAGATCAGGATAGCCGTCCCCCCTTGCGTGCCTCTGTCTGTTCGTCCTTGCGCCAGGGCCCACACCTGGGGCCCCTTCCACCAGGGGGCATCTTGCAGGCACAGTCCTTCCCCCAGCTTGGTCTCCTGGAGGCAAACAACATCGATCTGATTCTTGCGGATGGTCCGCTGCAGCTCCCATCTCTTCTGGTTTAGTGAGCGAGTTGACAGCCCCTTCACGTTCCACGTTAACAGCTTGAGATTGGTTGGCCGATTTCTTTGATCCATCCCGATCAGGTGGAGAAGAACATAGCCTCAAACACAAAACACAGAGCAACCTCAAACACAAAACAAAGAAAACAAATAAAACAAACA